GGGGCGGGGCCTAATTTATACGGGAAAAGTTTACTGTGACATCACACAAATATAGCAATTCCTCACAATAACAGAAAATGAAATAATTTGCGAATCTAAACTGCATAAGAGTAATGAACTACATCAAAACTTACCACTGCATTCATTTTTATCTCTAGTTAAATCCCACACAGCAAGGTATAAACAAGTCACTGATCGCAATGCACTTGTCGACATGACGTCATCATGGTAAAGTTTGACGCATTTTATGTGCAGTGAGAGGCGGATCAAGTAATTTTTTCACAGTGAAAAATGCATTTTATTATTAAACAGAATATTATTTGCAAATCTTAGGTAGACCATTAATACAAATCTGAAACGTTTGTTTAGTGCCATTATATAAAAAATATCGAGAGAATGTATTAAATTAATTCTACCGTGTTTTTGTCTACAGGGTGTGCATGTTTCACGCCGAGGTGCCTCATTAAATCGCCTTTTCGCAAGGGCATACACTTCATAGATCTTGACCATTTTTTGAATACACATAACGGACTTATTCCTTAACCTGAAAAGTGCTGCTGCTTTCCTGAAATCGATAGCATAATTTAATAAATACATAAAATACTTGGTAAAGGTCACACATATTTCGACATTAGTCAGATAACTTGAAATTTAAACTAATAAAATGCGAATTCTATTTAAAGCAGCATCACTTTTCATTAACTACAAGTTATGTAGAAACAATCCATTACTTTAATTTTTAATTCTAACTAGGGTATGCCCCTGCGATATTGAAATTTGTTTGTGACCTACATACATAATACATTACATGCATTTATCACGTGACTATCAAACAACGTCACCAAACCAAATTCAGTACAGAGCGGGGTATACAATGTTATTTTAAAGAATGTTAAAGTCATAAGATAATATAGTACCTTTACAAAAATAAATTCAGTTTAAAAAGGTATGTATTTATGCACGTTTACATTCTGTTGATTTCTTTGAAGTACGCCTTAACAGTGCTGCGTCCCATCAGCCACGTACCTCCGATCACTTGACTCTACACTAATTTAGTGTTTCGGCGGTGTGAAACGAGGTATATTTATATAAATTAATTTCATAATGAAGAAATAATTTTCTTCCTACTGCTGCAAATCCGCTTCATCAGGAGTCTATTTGCACCTATGCATTTATGCATCTACACATAAACAATAAGATTATTGCAGCCCGGAGGACCGGGCTGCTCTATACATATAAGTTTAAGTGTTGGTATATGGGGATTGAGGTGGGAGAAGTTATTCAGAATTAAAGGTTTTATAAACATTAAAAAGATTGTTAATCAGAATGTTCTTTCCCTTTATAAATTACGAGATACACAATATATTTACTTCCATAAAGTGAATCTGTAAAAATATATATGTTTTTCATATTTAATATATAAAGTTGCTTATCATTTACTATCGAAAAAACGACAGGTCCCTTTTTTTAGAACATCGAATTTTACTTATCGCATAAAAACGTAAAAATGTACTTTACACAGTTCGTGTTTTATATTCTTAAAGTGGAAGATATTTTTGAAAATAGGTGATGCATGTGTCTGGTTTCAAATTATATTTTATGCAGCCAACATTTACTTGAGGAATTGATAAAGTTTAAAAGGGTATCGTTTTTGTTCGATTTTCATCCGACTATAAGTTTTCAAAATATTCTCGACTATCGTCTCCATCATTTAGACGCATGCCTCTTTTTCACACATATCGAAGCGGTTTGATGATAAAGACTCATTTCCATTGTTTACTTTATTTATTTCCCGGGCGACAATTGATGGTTACATCAATGTTTTCTTGTTTAATTGTTGAGGAGGTGAGAATTTCACCCAGGTTTTTATTGCGTTTGTAGGACACAATAGGTAATTCAGAGAAGACTTTTTGACAGTCTTCATCCTTTGCAAGGATATGCCAATATTTTATCAGTTTTCGTTTTAAATGTCGTATACAGGGGTTGTACTTTGTGACAAAAACGAGAGGAATTCCTTTTTTCCTGATGCCACTTTTACTTTGCAGGGTTTTTTCTCTGCTATAATTAGCGAGTACATTTTGCATGTTAGATTTGATTTCAATTTTATCATATCCTCTTTTTAAGAGATTAATCTCAAACTCACGCAGAATTTTAAGCAAGGTGATTTTATTGCTTGTATTTCTCATATGGCGTATTGTTTCACCTTTAATAAATCCTTTAAAAACAGAAGAATTATGTGCACTGTTACGTTCCAAATATTGGAATGTATTTGTTGGTTTAATGTAGGTTTTAAAATCCAGAATTTGACTGGTTTTAAATCTATTTCCTTTGAACACTGTAGTGTCTAAGAAATTGATTTCTTTTGTAGAAATTTCATATGTGAATTTGAGCAGAGGATGGTATGAATTAGCTATTTCAAATAGCTCATGGATGTAAGTTTCTGATCCATGAAAAATGATAAATCCGTCGTCGCGATAGCGACCATGATATATTATTTTATTTTTCCCTGTAAATTTTTCGATGATTTCATGAGTAATTTGGTGTAGGCGTATGTCGCACACAGATGGGGAACACTTAGAACCCATCGCACATCCTATTGTTTGTTTATACAGAGCAGAGTTGAATTCAAATAGGAACAAAATTATTTCTTCATTATGAAATTAATTTATATAAATATACCTCGTTTCACACCGCCGAAACACTAAATTAGTGTAGAGTCAAGTGATCGGAGGTACGTGGCTGATGGGAGCCACCTTTTTGAAAAAAAAAATAGTCAGGTTTTAATGGCCAAACTGCCATTTATATTGAATTAAATGGGTGTAAAATGTAGGCGGGGATCGAGAGTTAGTTTGCGTGGTTCTTACTTGAAGAAGCATTTGTCTAATGTCAAAAAAGCCTGGGCTTCAATTTCTCGTGGAGAATGGTTGTATTAATTATTGAAAAGTCGTATGCTTTTGATTTCCGTAAAATTTTGTGATTTGAAATTTTCTAAAAGTTTAAAGTATCCACATCTGATTAACATCACTTTTCGAATACTAGTATACTGTTGTACAGTACTCCTGAATTTTCTTCTTCACTGCCGTTAATATTTTTGTAAGGAGAAAGAAAGGTTTGGTTGAACGTCTACTACAACTCTCTATGCATCTTTCTTGTAAGGATTTTTATGAAGTTCCGGAATCCAGTATAGGTATGATAATTCAAATTCAATTTGGTTGTCAGGAATATTAAACTTATTTAAAACATTCTGAAGAATTTCATCCTTAGAAAGGGAGCTGTGGGTGTAAGTTGGATTACCATTTGTAGAATTAAATCCAAGTTCCTCTAAAATGCACCTTACAAATAAAGGTTGCTACCTGCTTTGTCAGCTAGGACCAGTATATATGGATTGTGTAATCTATCTCATTCTTTTTATTTTTTACCTCTGAGGTATTGAAGACACCTGTTTAATGTGTATTTTTGTCCGTCCATTCTTGTTTTAATCATTTTCAAACTATTTTTATGCCTCCGTATCGAATATTCGGGGGTATATAGTTTTTGCCCTGTCCTTGAGTCTGTCTGTCTGTCTGTTTGTCCGCAAAAACTTTAACATTGCCCATAACTTTTGATTGGTTGGAGCTATGGCTTTCATATTTCACATGTGTTTTCCTTGTGACAAGACCTTTCTTTGGGTACCACCATATTTGACCTTTTGACCTTGACCTTGGAGTTTGACCCAGTTTTGAAAATGTTACCCTTACTTTAACATTGGCCTTAACTTTTGAACAATTGGTGCTAGGGCTTTCATGCTTCACATGTCTAATCCTTGTGACAAGACTTTCCTTTTGGATACCAACAACTTTGACCCTTTGATCTTGACCTTGGAGTTTGACCTACTTTTGAAAAACTTTAACCTTGCATTGGCCATAACAATTGAACCTTTGGTGCTTAGGCTTTCATACTTCACATGTGTAATTCTTGTGACAAGACCTTCCTTTGGATACCAAAAACTTTTACCCTTTGACTTTGACCTTGGAGTTTGACCTACTTCTGGAAAACTTTAACCTTGGCCATAACTTTTGAACCGTTGGTGCTAGGGCTTTCATACTACACATAAGTATGTAATTCTTGTGACAAGACTTTCCTTTGGATACCAACAATTGTAATCCATTGACCTTGACCTTGAAGTTTGACCTACTTTTGAAAAACTTAAATTTAACCTTGGTCATAACTTTTAAACGATTGGTGCTTAAGCTTTCATATTTCACCAGTATATTCCTTGTGAGAAGGCCTTTCCCTAGACTTAGGCATCATTCATTTTGACCATTTGACCTTGACCTTTATGTTTGACTTACTTTCAAAAAACTTTAACCTTTTCCATATCTTCAATGGTTGCTGCTAGGGCTCTCATATTTCACAGGTATATTCCTCGAGACAAGACCTTACTTTGGGTACCAACTATTTGATTTGCATTTCAGAAAGTTTAACCTTTGCTATAAGTTGCCATACGGGGGCATCAGTGTTTCACAAATACATCTTGTTTAAATAGTACTCGTGTGTGTTCTTGGTATATGAGTGGGGAAGCTTGGTTAGGCCCATGAGGCGGTCAACATTTGGCCATTTCTGTATTTAAACGTCCTAGTTCCTTTAAAAGGCAGTTGTAATAATGTGCCTTGCAAACAAAGACCATGTTATTTCCCGCTTTGTCAGCTGGGACGAGTACATATCGATTGTGTTTTGAGCATGTTTGTATTTGAGGTTAGCTTGAACGGAAAAGTGCAAACAAAACATTAACAATGCATTAATTAATCCACACAATTGTACACAAATAAATTAATCCTTATCAAGATGTATCATTGCCAAAATGAAAACCACATTATAGAGTTACAATGAATAAACTTTATGATGCTTATTTCTACCTGTTAATACTTAAAAAAAATAGCTAATTTAACTTTGTTGGTGTAATTACTTTAATGATTACAAACTATTTTTATTGCTACATTCTACAAATGAGAATGCAAAAAAACAGTTTATGTATTTATTACATAACTTTGTAAATCTACAAACATTAAAAAAATCAATGAAGTCATTAACTTTTTCATTAATATAACTAAAACAAATAAATGTGTTTTCTTCACTTTATTTATGTCCTAGATATATGACATGAGAAGCAGTTTAGTAAGGTCCTATCTTTGAACATTCTTCTCAAATCAACAAACTCTATATATCAATTGCAAGCCCTCCAATGTGTTCCAGTATGGACATACTGAACGATCCAGAATTTGCCATTTTCCATCTTTTTCTAATTGATCACATAGAGGAAAGAATGTATCTTTGTATAGGTCAAATTTTTCAAGCCCCTCCATTCGAGCCACTATGCAAATGAGTCCATCTACAGACAAGAAAGTATGGTGTTATGTTTTAAGACAAAAATGAAGATACAATGTTGCTGGGGGTTTTTTCATGACAATCACGTAGGTACCGTGTTATGTTCAAGATAAACATGGAGATACCGTGTTATATTCAAAGTACCATGATATGTTCAAAACAAATGAAGGTATCGTGTTAAGTTCAAGACAAACATGAAGGTACCATTTCATATTAAAAAACATGAATGTATCCTGTTCATGACAAACATGAAGGTAGTCAAGGTACCGTTTTATGATCAATATATTTCTTGAACATATTAGGCATTGAAGATTTTATATGGATTTATTTTTTTTATCATTGGTCAATGTTTAATGCTTGTTTAGAAAATGATTGTATAATTACCAGTATAACAGAAAATGAACCCTTTCAGAAAAAGAAAATTCCCTTACCATTTAAAAGTTAAGTCAAAATAACATCAACCAAAGAAACTAAGAAACATTTACTCGAGTTATTTCTCTGGACTGTATCATGTATGCCTTGTGTTTGTTACAAAATCGCTTTTCAAAATGTATATTAAGTTTCATTGTACGTAGACTTTAGAGCTGTTTTTATACGATTGAACACAGTAACGAACTATCGTGAAAAAAGATGAAATTAACCCATCAATGATTACAAATGCAAAATTTTTTGTCATGTATAAAACAAGGTTTTTCGAAAATGGTGTCTTCACGTTTTTGCATAAAATATGAGGTCCAACTTAATTCACCAACCTGGAATAACTATTTGTCATTTTATTAATACGTGTTTCCATCAATCCTCCAAAAGAGATTTTAGTCTGTCTTTACTACAATTGTCAGTCACAGGTACTTGGTTTATAAATATGTATGTACCTTATTGATATGTAAAAAAAAAAAATAAAGGTATGCAGGCTCCGTAATGGGGTCTGCTCAACTCGCTTGTTTACATGGCTTGTTCTTTGATAATAACTCTGCATTTCCGATCTTTATGCACCGGACGTCTCGGAACACTGAGTACTTATTGTAAAAATCCTCACATCTTGCAAATAATTTCTAAAACGTGATTTTTAAACACATTTTCAAACTTTTGGTTAGGCTGTTTAAAATTAATTCTACGTTTAACGTCACCTGTGCACGTAGGTTTAGGAGAAAAAAAAACAATTCGGAATTTCATATGTCCGTTCCGGTTTGGTTCTACATTTAACGACTCTATTCTACATCCCATAGTGACAGAAAAAGTGCTTTGATACCGCAGTTGGTGCCTTATGTAAAGGTTATAGGCCGAAAACTGTCCATTCTGTGAGAAGAAAGAACTGTTGGAGGGCCGTTAGGCCCGACAATAGTTCTCTCTTCTCACAGAATGGACAGTTTGAGGCCTATAACCTACTTAAAACATTTACTCTATTGTGTTCATAATATACTCTCTTAGAATTGTTTCTCATCCATTGTATTGAGTAAGCATTATCTACTTATTGGACGGTCTCAGGTAAGGGTTGCTTACAATCAAAAGAAACTTACACTCATTGTTATTGTTAACTTAGTGGACAGTTACAGGTAAGTGCTAAATAAACGAATTAAGAATATTTAACCACAATGCCATGAGATTCCAAAATTATTTTCTTGTGATTGTCAATGTTGAAAGCACGTCTTCTTCTGAGGGAGAAAGCATATTTCTGATGCAAACCAAGTCCAGATATGATGAGCAATCTACTAATAATACAGATGTCATTTTTCAAGTGATTTTTGGATTTTGAGGTTAGGATTGTCAAGATTATGAACTTTGAACTCAAAGTGGACGTTTTCTCAAATATTTCTCAACTTTTGGCCAAGGCTATTCAAGGATGCAAAAAAACAAAGGGAAAGTAGAAAGATTTCTGCAATTAAATCAACAATATTAAGATGATTTAGAAAAGGCTTTTCTCAGAAAATAGAGAAATGTAAATTGGCAATGACTGTTCTTTAACTGTCAGGGAGAATGTTGTTCAATACCCAATGTTGATGTTTTCGTGCTTAATTACGTTGGGTGATAAAGAAATCAACAAAATTATTTTTTTTTTCATCACTGAAGTCAGAAACGAATCGGACAAAGACTAATGACCAAATAACCTTGCGTTCCTATAACGGAAGAAACTATGTGCTCCTGCAGAAAGTGAGCAAAATTATTCGGAGTTCTAGTGAGAAAGAAGTAGCGATTGATTCTTGCCAGTAAGGCATTAAAAAAGGAAAAGTGATATCCCCGCGTGTGTTGATGGTGCAAGTTACATACCGGTAGAATTCGGAGATATTTCCTTCAATCAATATTAAGTTTTTACATTCATTGTGATTTGGATAAACATTTCATCATTTTCAATTTTTGTGTCTGTGACTTAGAATATATATTTCATTACATTGTGAAACATTTTGGATTCATTACTTCAAATATTTATTTGTGTCTTTGTTGTGTTTTCCTAATCCATTGACTTACCTGTAGCCGTCCAATAAGTTATTAAATACTGTCCATTATTTTTAATAATGGACAGATTTTTTTAACTTATTGGACGGTTACAGGTAACTTATTGGACTGTCTTTGGGCCTTTCAAGGAATAGAAAGTATTAAAAGAACAAAGGATGATGTCATACTAATGTTTTAATAAATATTAAAAGAAAACTAGTGAATTAAACAGTATGGGATCATAAATGTGAGTAAAAAATAGATGATTTTATGATTGAAGCTAATGACAAAATCTAGTTTGTTGAGTTTTTATCAGTCTTCGTATCACAGAATCTCAGTTCGTAATTATGTTGGCTGAACTATTCATTGTATTTTGAGAAAATTGCAAAACTTTTTACTTAGTGCAAAATGTGTCAAAAACAAAGATTTTATAATTTACAGTGAGATGCATCATTTAAATTTTATTTAATAGTTTCATCTTAAAATATTTCTGTAAAAATTTAAAGTAACATAAAGATTATTGATTTCTTCATAGATGTAGCATTCTTGTGCCTACAAATGGCAACAATTTTAGGGAAAGATAATACTAGTCATTGCCATTTGAGCTGGGAGAAGCTTACAGAAGATAGAGCCTTTCAAGCAAAGGAGAGTAAGGAAAGTGATTCGGGTATTCCAAGAAGTGAAGAATCCTGTCATTTGTGGAATTCAAGGTAAAATTATCTGACACCTATGGTCCAAATATAGTATTTACACTTTCAAAACTAAATGCTAGTAGATCTAGAACTATGAGTAAAAATACAGCAGAATTCAATTTCGAGATATTTTTAATTGTAGAATGTATTACGTACTGTAAACATAATTTTGATTGCAGATATCAATCAATTATTCCCACAAGAAGAAGCATTTTCCTACAGAATAACCGTGGATGTGTGGCAATATAAATCCAAAGGACAAACGAGGCCAGTTAAAACCACTCTCCTGTACATTCAGTCTACATTGTTTGCTTACAAAAGAATTCAAACCAATATACATACAAAGGAAAAACTCTGCTTAGGAAATTAGACTTAGATGTCATATCCAATACTCGTATTACTCAATAGTGTTTTTTTAATGTACTGAATAGGTTAATTTGAATAAATTCACAAATGTTGAAAATTTTTGTTGTTTATTTTTTCCCCTCCCTCCCTTGTAGGTTTTGAACTTTAGAGGTGACGTTAAACGTAGAATTAACTTTGAACAGCCTTAACGTGCCCGGAACTAAGTGCAAAAATAAAACCCGATTAAAAACGACAAATTCCGGCCATTCAGACACTTCAAAATTCTAGAGGCGTTCCGAGAAATTTAAATATAGCTTGAATTATCCCAGAACTATTTTTAGTTTTAGGCAGGTTGGGGGGAAACGTAAATTCCGCTATAATAGTGGTATACCACTATTATAGTCACTGTGAGATTCCGCTATATTTTCAGCCGTAGTTGTCCTTGATTTCATCAAATAACATACTTGCTGTTTAAAGCGCAAGTTATGATGGGAATAAAAATGAACAATAATTGGCATCCTTACATATTATGAATTTTATTTAATTTTCCGCCGATGCGTTTGATAATGCGAACACACTTTTTAAAGCGGAAGTTACATTTTTAACATAGCAACCAGTGATTGCGGTAATATTGAACAAAGACTGACTTTTAATATCTCTCTCACATGTGCACAAATTAGTGCTTGTAATAACTTTCAACCAATTTTGGAATAGGTTTGTCGATTTTACAGACGAAAAGATGATTTTTGCCTGCATGGTGACGTGTACGGAGGCCCGTTATGACAAACGAAAAAAAGCTCATTACATGTTTACTTTATTCTGATGAAACCGATTAGTATAGTTTTTGCAATAAATCGTTAACAATGATATAAGATGTCATTTCTGCAGGTAATTACATATACATTATATGACATTAGTTTCCGGAATGTTAAACAAAATTTTTTGAAATAGTAATTTTTGTATTATGACAAGTAAAGTTAAATTAAAAAAAGAAAAATCTTTTTAAAAACTATTTCAAAAATTATATGTGTGAGCGATTTTTGTTGGGAATATAGGTGTAATTTCTCAGAAGAAACATTGGTGCTTAATACATGTATTATGATTAAACCACGTAATGGCGAGACATAAATTAATTAAGTGTTCATTTAGTTATGATATAGCTGCAGTTTCCAAAAATAGAAGTATGTTGAAAATTACTAATAAAAGACACCAGGGAGTATAACAAATCTGCTTCTTTCCTTAAATATTTTACTAGAGAAAGAGATTGATGACAAACTAATAACTAAACTTACATGGTACATGTGATAACTACTTTTTCTATCGTCAACTTCCCTTGTTATGTAGCAATATACCATATTACCTGCATGTGGGATTAATGTCTTAAATTATTAATTGATTCGATACACATTACGAACAACAAGGGGTCTCGGTTTTAAGAGGGTCTTCCGCCTATTCCCCAACCCTTTTTTTAAAATCACAAATCCACCTATTCCCGCTTGCAAGTAACAAAATGAGTTGAAAGTTCATTTGTGTTTATAACAATTATGTTAATTACATCCCAACTTAGATATACCTGTGTTTTGTAGAATTTAATACACCTTAAGACAGAAAAAACACAATAAATAAATCGATGAAAATGCAATGATTGATTTCACTTAATTTTGTACATTTTCTGACAGAAAATAAATAAATAGATGTAAGAAAAATATATTGTAATTCACTCAAATTTTTTGCACTTTAAGACAGAAAATAAATTAAATGGGTTCAACTTTTTTTCTTCAATTTGCTTGAAATACTGTACGATATATGAAGATAACAAACAGTAGTCAATCTCAAAAGTCCATTGAAACAATGCAAATTTTAAACAGAGCAAACACGAACCTCTAAAAAACATCAAAGATGGGATCAGGTGTCATGGAGGAGTGAGCATCCCCAGCCGACAAGTGTGTTCCTTGTCGTGATAGGAAAAAAAAAAAAAACGAAAAAATAACCGTACGCGAAAACAATTCAATGTGCATATAATGGCTTCTTTGTAGTTAAAAAAGCGGGCTTAATATTTTAGCGGCTGTGGCGAGACAACGATGCACTAATTCATGATAACTATTAATAAATGAATTTTGCAAAGTCCATGTTCGACAGGGGATGCGTAATCCTCCATAGCACCTTATCCTACCTATTCGCTCTGCAAAAAAATTATTGCTCAAATGGCCTTTTTTCGTTATCTTCATATTTCTGTTTCTCCTTGTATTTCGTTTATTTACACCAGAATAATCTAGTTCTGGTAAATAGGATTTCATTGTTTCTTTTCCAGTGCATATCGTAGTTAAATATAAAATTTCATGCAAGTTAGAGAATCAATAAATCGTGCAGAATTTATTTTACGTCACGTCTACAGGTAATTCCATGCACAACTGTAATTCTTCTTTTCTTGCTAAGAATAATCATTTAAATTCATGGATTCATCGTCAAGAAAGGAAACATTATACACAAACTTAAGATTACTTCGAAAGGTGACATATTTTATGTATTGATTACAATTTAGACGACACAAATCGGTTCCATTAAAATGTACATGTGCTGAGCTTTTTTTTCATTTGTCATAACGGGCCTCCATACCCATTACCATGCAGGCAAAAATCACCTTTTCTTCTATAAATTCGACAAACCTATTCCAAAATGAGTTGAAAGTTATTACAAGCACTAATTTGTGCACATGTGTGAGAGATATTAAGAGTCAGTCTTTGTTCAATATTACCGCAATCACTGGTTGCTATGTTAAAAATGTAACTTCCGCTTTAAAACGTGTGTTCGCATTATCAAACGCATCGGCAGAAAATTAAATAAAATTCATAATATGTAAGGATGCCAATTATTGTTCATCTTTATTCTCATCATACCTTGCGCTTTAAACAGCAAGTATGTTATTTGATGAAATCGAGGACAACTACGGCTGAAAATATAGCGGAATCTCACTATAATAGTGGTATACCACTATTATAGCGGAATTTACGTTTCCCCCCAACCTGTTAGGAGCCTGCATACCTTTACTTTTTTTTTTTTACATTTCAATAAGGTACATACATATTTATAAACCAAGACCCAAGTACCTGTGTTGTCAGTATGCACTGCTGTCAGTCTACACGATCCATTGTGGAATACCGATTCCGATGTTTTTTCATAGTATTTAAAAATATAAGTTTGTTTGGTAACTGAATATCATACGATTTCAAAGTACACTATCATAAGCTCATTAACATGTATAAATGCTAATTATCTAAAGATTGCCTCTCAAAATTCAAAAGTCATAAGTTTATTTAAACTGGCCGAGATATTTTTGCAAAATAGGTCAAAGGCCAAGTGGATTGTAATGCTGGTATTTTTCATATTGTCTTATGACAAACAGTGCACATGCCAAATAGCATAGACTTAACTCTTAAATGTCAAAAATATGCTGTATTACGGCACTATGAGCTATTTTGAAAAGTAGGTCAAAGGTCACGAGGTCGGTAACGGTGGTAATTTACAAAAGCCATAGCCAAGCAATATATGTGCTATATATCCATCCATATCTCTTACAGTTCTCGAGATATAGGGTGTGACAGACAGACAGACTGACGGACGCCGGGTAAGGTGATCCCTTAGTGCCGCTCTGCTCTGCAGGCGACACAAAAAGTAAGCTACAACAATATATAGACACGTGACCTACTTGGTTTGACCAATCGAATCATTTCTTCCAGTGCTTCACTTTTTATGTGATTTTTTGTATGACTTCCAACAACAGTGACAATATCATAGGAATCTACAAGGTATCAAAAATACGTGCAAGTTTTATCTTATTGATCAATAATAGTAAACATATTTCCTCTGTTGCAATACGTACTTATTAATTGCTTAATCACGGACTAACTTGGAAAGGATACAAAAAAGTGATTGTTCGTCTTTATGGAACTCAGTATCTGCTATTAACTTCCTAACGATAGAACTGATAATATATTCAAATATCTGGAAATATATTTAACATATAATGGCTGCAATTAAAAATTACTAGACAAAGAAAAGGACAATCCACTACTATTTCACCGTTGAGGAAAGAACTTAAATCCATACATTGGCACTATTAATGACGACAAACAGTTCTCACCTGAAGCTAGATCCAGCGGATCCTTACCAATCGCCTCACAGATGTAATTTCTGTACAGACCTTTCTGTTTTGCCTTTTCAAGCATACCTGGGGAGGGATCCAACGCATCAAAAATCTTAAAGCCTTTTTTCAGTAGCTGTAATATTATGGTTTGATATCACTCATTTCTAGTGTCGGTTTTTATTTATTAAGTTTTTACAATTGTTTTATTTAAACATTCCTAGAAAATATTGGTTGTATTATTATATTCATGATAAAAAAAAATTCCGATATGGTTTTTCGGTAAAAATAAAAACTAACTCTATTTGCCAACGCTTTTGAAGTTTTAAAATAACTAAAGTTTTCCTAGTAAGAATATTATACATTTATTGACTGGGTTCGAGGGCAACATGCATTTTGTCGGACCCAAGAACCAAACTGTTTGCCTGAGGCCCTTAGGCCGAAGGCAAACAATTTAGATCGAGGGGTCGACAAAACGCATGTTGCCCTCCAACCCAGTCAATAAATGTTTTGTTATACCTTTTATTTATTAATTTAACTATTATTTTTTTGACATACATGTAGGTCGAACACCAACGAATGCAAATGAGATTTAGCTGAACCCCCCCCCCCCCCATTGTGTGACGTAAGCGGTCCAACATCTCATCGACAGGTGCAGTCTCACTCCGCGGTCAAACATCGATTTTTTTTATGCCCGCTCAACAAAACATTGGAAATGTTAGACTTTTATTAGTATTGATCTATATAAGAACAATTTTTAAAGGTATAACAAAATCCTTTATATTACAAGGAGGGGTCGCCCGCGTGGCGCAGTGGTTAGAGCGTCTGCTATAGAGTCGCGGCGTAAGGAGTTGATCCTTACGTCGCGGGTTCGAATCCCACTGTGGGACGTGGAGACCGGTCCTTCGGATGAGACCTATAAATCGAGGTCCCGTGTCGCAGTAGGTGCTGGCACGAAAAAGATCCCTCACTGCTCAATGGCCGTAAGTGCCGAGTATAGGACAAAATTTGCAGCTCTCCACCGTCAAGTGGTGGCGTCTCCATATGAGTGAAACATTCTCGAGAGGGACGTTAAACAACACACAAACAAACAAACAAAAACAACGCCATGCCGTCCCAGTCAGACGACCAAACGCGCCTTTAATTTTGAAGAGTTCACTAATGGAAATCAAACGTATTGCTTACTGAAATATGTTTTTTTAAATCTGAATCTATCGTATTATATTTCTCATGTTCAAAAAATATAATATTAAATATATGAGTGTAAATATTTAATAATATGATAGTTAGTCTAACAATTGTATTGTTTTTAAAACAGAAAAAGAATTAATACCTCCTCTGCCACCATTCCTGTGCCTGCCCCTATGTCCAGGATTATCTTTTGAGCACGTTCGTCCATACTGAAAAACTTGGACACAGCTTCTGCAGCCGAATGCGGGCCATAATAATTACTGTCACCTAAAATCTTTGTATCAGAGACATTTGTTACAAAGTATTTCCAATATAAATTAAAAATCGATGCAAGGAAACTGCATATAATTATGGACTTAAAATGTAAAACTTTGGCATTGACTATGGAAGTATATCTTTTTGATAAATAATATGAAAGATGGCCAAGAGATCTTTTTTCGAGTCAGAAATTTTTCATGGATGCAGCATACCCAGGATGAAAGTCGCCCGCGTGGCGCAGTGGTTAAAGCGTCTGCTCTAGAGTCGCGGAGTAAGGAGTTGATCCTTACGTCGCGGGTTCGAACCCCACTGTGGGACGTGGAGACCGGTCCTTCGGATGAGACCGTATAATCCGAGGTCCCCTGTCGCAGTAGGTGCTGGCACGAAAAAGATCCCTCATTGCTCAATGGGCGTAAGTGCCGAGTATAGGACAAAATTTTCAGCTCTCCACCGGCAAGTGGTGGCGTCTCCATATGAGTGAAAAATTCTCGAGAGGGACGTTAAACAACAAACAAACAAAAAACCTAGGAAGAAAAAAACTTGATTTCCACTTCTTTAAAAATATAGCAAAGAGCGTGATGAAAGATCGAAAATTTGGAGGAAAAGTACTAGCTGGTGGTAATTTATCAAGGACAATTAAGATTATTCACCTTATCATAATCGTTGCTTAAACTGTCGTACACTGCGCTCAATCCCTTTTGGTCAAGACCCTCAACGAAGATGTTTTCAAGTAGCGTCTCCACTTCCGGGTCTTCTGATGGCAGGATATAATTCTTTTCTGTCGTCATCTAAAAAAAAATAACAGTCACTTCTTCCTTTTACTAAGTTTTGTTTTCCCTCCGATTTCTAAGCTATATATATCGTCAACTGAAAATATATTATGAAACTATAGAGGGCGCATTTGAGTATCAGTTCTATCTTATCAAACACCTTGCATATAAATTAAAAATTCATATTATTATACTCTGTGTACTTTTATACGTTATTCATCTGATTTGTAAGGGATTGTAAGGTTTTTTTTTAATTGTACGTTTGTTTGTTTAAATGTGTGTGTGTGGGGGGGGGGGGGGGATATTTATTTCAAGATTTGCAGATACAATCTTAAAAAAGAAATTGTACATGGTACATTTGTCAAAATCAAAATGGATAAGACTGTATTCCCATTATTTGTCTACGTCAAAGCCGTATACACACTGTACATGTGTACATCATGTCAATTTCATTCCTAAATAGGCTAGGTATTTGAACACAGTAGAATAAAGACATATTTTCGCATACCGTAAATAAATCGGTATACATATACATGTATACATGTAGTATACAAACAAGCATCATTACAATTTTAAAAAGAACTTATTTGTCACAAGGGGGCAAGTTAAAAGGTAGTCTAAATGATGTTGAAATTAAATAAGCGTAAACCATCAAATTATAGAAAAATAGAGAGCATGCATTGTCTACAGAGGGTAAACTATGTAAAAAAAAAAAAATCACAATTGCTATATAACATTTTGGATTAAATATTAAGACTTTGAGATTGTTAAATAATAACCACGTTAATGCCAAATTAAAGGGGAAAGTCAAATAGACAACAATAAAAAATCTTTCTGTACACTCAAAGATATCGTGCATATGAGCCATGACCTAGCTACGTAGTATAACCATGAATGTTTGTTGGAATATGGAGAATCTCTCGTTGTTACTAAACTGAATATACCTTTTGTAAACCTATAGGGTTTGAGACAATTATGTTACTATAATAAGAAAATAAACATACTAAACTATTTACAATGTACTTAAGATAGAGTGCATTGACCTATAATCCAATCGGGATCTGAAAGTGTAAATGAATTTTATGTATTGTACATGATAACTGTATAAAATAGGATCTACGGCGCTCTTCGAGAGAGCCACTATACGATCATCTGTACGACCTATCACTTTCTGTAATTAAACTTCTTGAATACGACTCGCAACTTTCAGTAAATAAACTCTTTGCAAACATTTTGGTTTCATTGGCTTACACTTTTTCTGATTTTTTAAAATATATATTAATGTAAGTAGGTTAGTATATACAGTATACAATTGAACTTACTTTATGTTGGTATGTTGTCAATATAATATAGACACATGTCACTCCACTACACTTTATTATCTTAGCCTGGTTCCGGCCTACCGATAATGCTCCTATACTGTGTGGAGCGTTATGGGTAGGCCGGAACCAGGCTATTTATTATTTAAATTCAAACCGGATATTTAATGTTAATGGTAGTTTTGAAATGAGCTTTCAATTGGATCTTTCCCTCCGAATAAATTTAGAATGTCATATTTATTTATTTTTTAAATGCAGGCGGTATATTGATAGTGGGTTGAGCATTGCATGTTAGCCTGTAGGAATCAATATCTTTCAGGGTCAAAGTATTTTTTAAAGAAACTTTATTACATTTGTTGGAGTATTTCCTATGCATGGCCGTAGGAACTGGGGAGGCACGGGGGGGGGGGGGGCGTGCCCCCCCAATAATTTTGCCGATATATAGATTACTATAGTAAACATAGATAATGTGTGCTTGTGCCCCCTGAATAAAAACGTCTGATTACCTTTTTTTTTTTTTTTTTTTTTTTGCTTGTCAGGAAATTTTTGGTAGTGCCCCTTCAACGTCAACTGAAAAATGTATGGCTGTGCCTCCCCCCCCCCCCCCAACTGAAATTGCTTCCTACGGGCCTGCTATGTATAAAAGCCAACCTGACTAATGTCTATATGATTGCATATTATAAAAGCGCAGAACGTTTCGCTCCTAAAGCTGTAAAGACCTTGCATAAAAATTAGTTTCAAATGCATACGAGAAGAGAAATGCCAAAGGACAGTTGAAAATATTATTCTTTATAGTAACTAACTGCAAAATACAAATTCCTTTGATATAAGCAAAATGAATATATCTTTATCAAACTTGATTGTGTTGTGTATTTTAAGATGGATATTTAATATGATAATTTTGATACAAGCTATTAAGTTGAATTGCAATATTATGGAGAAAGAAGTAATTGAGAAAATATGTTTGCAAAGGTGAAAAAATATGACATTACAAAATTCAAATGAAAAAGGTAAACGCATTCTAGCATGAGCTACAAGGCAAAATGCAATATAGCAGAGAAGTGAACAAAATCTTGACACAAGACAATTTACCCAGTTTGTTGAACTCAATATACATCTATATATTAAACTAGTATTAATTGTAACGGGGACCGTTACAGATGTTCCCCAAACGCTCCCCAACTTCCTTTTGGTGTCTTATTCCCTGTAAGCTTCATTAAATAAGACAATCAAGTATATTGTTTTTTTACGCATTACACGCGCGCGCACGGACACGCATGTACAAAATGACCATGTCAACTTGTCTACACTTTCAATACATCTTTATATTCAAATTTCATCAAAAGATAAAAAAAATTCGGCTATATTAAGTATATCTGTCATTTAACGCTTTGCAAGCGTGCGCACGTGCATGCATATCCAAGTTGACCGTGTCATCTTATCTATACTATTAGTATATATCTACATATTTTGAGTTCAAAGCATTTCATCAAAAAGTATAAAAGTTACAGCTATATCAAGTATATTGGTCATTTTAGCGTTGCATGCGTGCGTGGTTATAGCAAGTATATTGGTAATTTTACTCATTCCACGCGTACGCACGTGCATGCATGTGTGCGCTGACCATGTCATCTTGTCTACACTTCTAATATATCTTTATATTCTGAGTTTCAATGCAATTCATCAAAAAATGTACAAGTTAAGTCTATATCGATTATATTGGTTATTTCAATCATTGCGCACGCCAGCACGTGCATGCATGTGCATTCTGACCATGTCATCTTGTCTTCACTATTAATATATCCTTATATTCTGAGTATTAAAGTATTTCATCAAAAGATATGGAAATTTTGGCTATATCAAGTATATTGGTCATTCTACTCATTGCACGCACACGCACGTGCATGCAAGTGCATGCATGTGTGCGCTGATCATGTCATGTTGTGTGCACTTCTAATATATATTTATAATCTGAGAACCAAAGCAATTCATTAAAAAATGTGCAAGTTAAGTCTATATCATTTTTATTGGTTATTTCAATCAATGCGCATGCGCACACGTGCATGCATATACATTCTGACCATGTCATCTTGTCTACACTTTTAATATATCCTGATATCCTGAGTATCAAAGCATTTCATCAAAAAATATGAAAGTTATGGCTATATCAAGTATATCTGTCCTTTTACTCATTGCACGCGCGCGCACGTGCACACACATGCATGCATGTGTGTGCTGATCAAGTCTTCTTGTCTTCACTTCTAATATATATTAATATTCTGAGTTTCAAAGCAATTCATCAAAAAATGCACAAGTTAAGTCTATATCAATTGTATTGGTCATTTCAATCAATGCGCATGCGCGCACGTGCATGCATGTGCATTCTGACCATGTCATCTTGTCTACACTATTAATATATCCTTATATTCTGAGTATCAAAGCATTTCATCAAAAAATACAAAAGTTACAGCTATATCAATTAAATTGGTCATTTTACGTATTGCACGCGCACGCACGTGCATGCACGTGCGCGCAAAATGACCTTCGTTCCGCAAATCTACATAACATTCCTATTAACCCTAAAAAGGTTTCACCTCAATCGGATGTGTAGTTTCGGAGATCACTCACGGACAAAAAAGTACCCAGGAAGAAAAATAATAATAACTAGAAACTCATTGCGAGCAATGAGAGGTCTTCCGTCTGATTCTGAAAATAAAAACGAAAATTCAAGCTGAAAAAGAGATAAAAGAAATTCAGACACTCTGGAAATTTAACCCAGGTCGTCAGCGTGAAAATCCAACTTGCTAACGTTAACCATTCATTTTTTACATCACTTCCGGTCACGACCGGAAGTACCGGAAGTAACGGCGATACAAGATTTTCTCACGATTCATATAACTGATGACTGACCATCAGTCCTGAAAGTTTTAGACTTCAGTCGTTTACTGTTGCCGAGCAATATTGTGAGATCAAATTCTAATTTTGAGGACGGGTAAACACGAGACCAGAAGTGAATTTTATAAAAATCTTTGACTTTTCTCTAGACATTTGCAGTATATACAACATACATAAAGTCATTTCAAGTACTTTATCGATGATCAATATTTATGAGAAAGTTAAATATCAAAGTAAAGTAGTTTATCTCCTAAAACCGGAAGTTGACGTTTTTGTTTCCGGTGGAATCTAACATACTTCAAAACAGCGAAAGAGATGCAATAAAGTGATGCAAGCAATAATTTAAAAAAGAAAAGTTAAATTTTTTTTGGATTTCTTTGATCACTTACTGTGACAAGCGGAAGGGACGACTGACGCGTTTAACCCAAATGGTTTTGCCTACTCCTCAAGGTCTATTACTCATAAAACTTTGGTGTTTTAATCTTTTACCTGGTTTTGAGATCTCGCTCAGACAACTTCACATTTTGAGAACAGGAAAACATGCGACCGGAAGTGAATTTTTGAAAGATATTTACGATTACTCTAGACATTTGCAGTCTGAATAACATATTTAAAATTCATTTCAAATACTTTTTCTAGAAAAAATATTGATGGGAAAGTAAAATACTCAAATTATGTAGTTTTTCTCTTATAACCGGAAGTTGTCGCTTTTGTTTCCGGTGAGAACAACATCTTTCGAATCTGCGAAAAAGATGCAATAAAGTGATGCAATTTTTAATTAAAAAAAGAAAAGTTGAAATTTCGATTTCTTTGATCACTTCCTGTGACGACCGGAAGTGACGGCTGACGCTCTGAACCCAAATGGTTTTGCCTACATCTTAAGGTCTGTTGCTCATATAAGTTTGGTGTCTTAATCTTTCACCGTTTCCGAGATCTTGCTCAGAGAACTTCTCATTTTGAGGACAGGAAAACACGCGACCGGAAGTGAATTTTACAAAGATATTTGATGTTACTCTAGATATCTGCAGTTTGAATAACATATTTAAAATTCATTTCAAATACTTTATCTACAAAGGATATTAATGGTAAAGAAAAATACTAAAATTATGTAGTTTTTCTCTTATAACCGGAAGTTAACGTTTTTGTTTCCGGTGGGACCAACATATTTCGAAACTACAAAAGAGATGCAATAATGTGATGTAAGTATTGATTTAAAAAAAGAAAGTTGAAATTTTATGATTTCTTTGATCACTTCCTGTGAAGACCGGAAGTGCCGACGACGAACGAAAAGGCGATTCTGCAAATTTAGAAGTCACATTCTATGCTCTCCAATAAGTCTCCAGTTCATATCTTTAGCCATTCTTGAAAAAAAGGGGCGACAAAATTTCATTTTAAAATCAGGAAATTGCCCGTAACTTGGAACCAAAATGGAATTTTCCAAATTTTCCTTGTGATGAACAAAGTTCATACAATGACTGATTTTTCCTGAAAGTTTCATTGAAAACTACTGAATACTTTTCGAGAAATCGCGTGCACAAAATTTTGTCAAAAAAAAGAATAATAATAATAATAACTAGAAACTCATTGCGAGCAATGAGAGGTCTTCCGTCTGATTCTGAAAATAAAAACGAAAATTCAAGCTGAAAAAGAGATAAAAGAAATTCAGACACTCTGGAAATTTAACCCAGGTCGTCAGCGTGAAAATCCAACTTGCTAACGTTAACCATTCATTTTTTACATCACTTCCGGTCACGACCGGAAGTACCGGAAGTAACGGCGATACAAGATTTTCTCACGATTCATATAACTGATGACTGACCATCAGTCCTGAAAGTTTTAGACTTCAGTCGTTTACTGTTGCCGAGCAATATTGTGAGATCAAATTCTAATTTTGAGGACGGGTAAACACGAGACCAGAAGTGAATTTTATAAAAATCTTTGACTTTTCTCTAGACATTTGCAGTATATACAACATACATAAAGTCATTTCAAGTACTTTATCGATGATCAATATTTATGAGAAAGTTAAATATCAAAGTAAAGTAGTTTATCTCCTAAAACCGGAAGTTGACGTTTTTGTTTCCGGTGGAATCTAACATACTTCAAAACAGCGAAAGAGATGCAATAAAGTGATGCAAGCAATAATTTAAAAAAGAAAAGTTAAATTTTTTTTGGATTTCTTTGATCACTTACTG